AAGAGGGTTTTTTTTTTACACAATTAAAAAAAAAAAAAAAAAAAAAGCAAAAGCAAAAAGCATCAAAAGGAAGATGCCCATCTGTCTGGGAGTGGAGCAGAATCACAACTGATCATTAAGACGTAAGGCAAGTGAGCTTCTATTACAGCGAAGCCTCTGATTAGTTGTCCCCAATGCGCCGCGGTGACAAATGAGTTGCAGGCAAGAGAGCAGAGGAGAAAAGTGCAGGCCAGAAGAAGATTTGGAGGGGAGAAATAGAGAGGCGGGTTTCTTCTGCCACTTTTAATGGCCTGTGGTGCACTGAACCACTTCTATTCATCAGAGCACTCTGTGGGCTTAAAGCGTCATCCCTTGACATACCTTTGATTCCAAATCTCGGTGTAATCACGTGTCGCCAAAATGGCTACCACAAACATGTCCTGCTATTTTTTTATTAAAATTGGCGCTCAGGACTATTGGCTGGAGGGCGGCGAAAACTAAGAATTCGATATCGCCATGGACGACAAAGACACATTTGCAGTCGTGTATTTGTCATTTTCCCCGAACAGATTATTCAGTTTCGCCGCCGCTCGGAGCAGCAAATTGGCAACGTGATCAAATGTCAGCTCAATGGCAACTACGCGCTAAACCGAATTCAATTTGAATGATTTGAATTGGAGTGGACCGGTTGCTGTGGTTTGATCACACAATTACCATATATTGCTCCGATCAAATATTTCACAAGATAGCTGCTGGAGTTTGTTTTCGATGCCGCTCCATGTGCATGTAAATTGACTTTCCCCTCCGAGGGACAATAACATAATCTTCCTCCTCCTGTAATATTAAAACAATTCAGAGGTTAAACTAAGCGTAGCGTCGCCAGAATAAGTTTTCACTTGCAGCGAATGTCATCATATTGACATAAAAACAAAGAAGGGAGGAGAAAAATCACATACGAGGCTGAAAACGCATTTGCAATATAGATGGCACACGGCGTTGAAATATGCATGTCATTTCAAGTCAACAGCTTCCAAATTCTCACCTGCATGCATTCATTCTTGCCCATGACGCCAGCCAGCTGCAAATAGCATTTGACCTGCTGTCTGATCTTCTGGAAGCAGTCAACAATGGGCACCGTAGGGATAGTGTGGATACGACTGAGGATATCCAGAGCCACATTCACTAAACCCTGTGAGCCGGGAAAAGATAACATTGAAGATAAATACAAAGATGGGGGGGAAGAAAAAATTGTTGTGACAGCTCTGAAGGCGGTACCGAACTCCGAGTACATTTATGACTCACCTGTTTGCGCCCAATCTTGCCGTACTGAATGATAGCAGATGCTGAGGCGTGAACTCCCAACATGGCGTTGTTGTTGTTTGGATCATGCTGTGTATTCGTCTCATATGCTGTCACGATGGCTACGGACAGAGGTAGAAAACACTCACATAAATGGTGTCTGTATTTATTACACAGGTGCACATCGCTGAAGAGGAGCGTGATGCACTGGGGACATGAAAATATCGCACGGCAAATGGGGCATGGCAATGGATTTCATCAAGAAAATTCAATCTCACTCCTGCACAAGTTTCCAGGCTGCCATGTATAAATGAAGTGGATTTTATTGGCGGTATGGAACCAGAGCTATTTTGGAAATAGAGTTGATGCGAGCGGACGTAAGACCCATGCGCATGCCACATTAGAGGGCTTAAGAACTGGCGGTACCTACAGAAATGATGCAGTGTAGTTCGAAACAACAGGAAAAAGACGACCGTGGACACCGTTGAGAGTCATACCTTGGTAATGATGCTGGCGCCACATGAAAATGCTGCTCCAGTGGGACAGGTCATCGGAAACAATGGGAAGTCGGTTCCTCCACGTTTTCACCACCGTCTTCATGTCATGGAGGCTGGTGTTGCGGCCCAGGTTTGTCGGCTGCAGCCCCGCGTTAATTTGGGCCGCTTCTTGCAATTCGATGATCTGCTGTGCCGCCTGCGGTGGGGGTAAAAACGGGAGTTAAAAGTCTCACTGCAAAGCTTTGTCTTAGTGAGCGTGACCATTTTTTAATCAATCTGTTGATAAATATACATATAAACATACAAATGTGCCTCAATCGCAATAAAATAAGAACATCTATCATTAAAAAAAAACAAAAAAAAAAAAACGGCCAGTAAGAACTTTGTCGTAAAGAGTTGCTCTCTTTTCTGCCTTTGAGAAGGCTAGATATAGAACTGAAAGATGCTGAGGATGATGCCAGCATGAAAAAAGGCGAGACTTGACAAGTGTGGAGCTGAAGTAAGAGGTGGAAAGATAGTGTTGGGGACGTGATGATGAAACAGGCAAGCACAAAAGATTGTGATCGTGACGGGAAGGTGAAGTGATAATGGAAAAAAAAAAAAAACAACACACACAAAACCCATTGTGAGTGAGAAAAAAAAAGTTGTTTTTTCCAAGAAAAAAACAAGTTTTCCTTCTTGGGTTAATTAACTAGGGGAAAAAAAAATCCATGACAATATTGTGAAATTTGCAATCAATTCCTCGCCAGTCTTGTACTGAACAGGATAAACAACGTCCAGGAGTTTGGAGATGATTAATATCCAATCAATGCCACACAATTGTCAGTTGCTCTGGAATTTTGGTGATCCAAATGAGCAGTCATAATTTTATTTCGCCTACGCTACACCTCCGTTCATGTGGTGCGATGACGGGCCGGCCCAAGAAGCATGTTTATGTAATTTATAAAGAACCCAAAGTGACACAACACGTGTCAAATGATGGCAGTGAAGATGGGGTTATGCAACACAGCCGTGGGTAAGCGCAAACAAACATGGGCTCCAGTTGAGGATTACAATTTGGCATGCTCTTCTCGAAAAAGAATATTAAAAGAATGAATACGTTAATGGCAGAAGTCAAACTAATAAGCAAAATTTGGCATCACATTCCGTGAAAAGAAGCCTCATTGATTGGCCCAAGGCTACTCTGCGAACATATAATCAATCACTCCATTCCGACGACTCATTAATCAATATTAGCGCCCCGGCTCTCCCGATCAATGGAGTGGGTGATCATCCATTGATTGTCAGACGCCACTTGGGAGGCAGGATTTGATGATAATTTGCCTTTGGAGCCTTTCTGTATTTGCCGAGTCTGGCTTTCGCATTCCCCGAGAAGCTCGCGGAGTTGTGCAAGTGGGACGAAAAGTTTGGAATGGAGATTGACAGCTGGCTGCGAGACTGCCTGGAGAGGAATTCAATAGCTTGTTTTCCCTTAGCGAGAACAGTAACTGGATTGCACTCACGCAAGAACACGCGTGCACATTATGCACACTCGCACGTGCGCAAAGAACAATGACGCAAGTCGTCACCCGAGTTGCATTCCAATTTGGTCGGGACAGATGCAGCAAAAGAGGAAATGGGCTGAAGACGACCTCGCACACTTTTTTATTATTTTTTAAACCAGACAACCAAAATAAACTGAGCGCTATTTTTTTTTCTTCACAACTATCAGTTAATATCAGCTGATGGCCCATTTCTGACCTTCATTGGGACTACGCTATTCATCATGTAAATGTAATTTTGCCCAAGGTATTTAATCAAACGCTATCTTATGGCAGGGAAGTAATTACCGCTAAACTAACTCTTCTCCCCTCCTTTTCCCTTCTCGCAGCGTTTCAGGCCCATCGTCCTTAAACCCCATCGCCCTGTTTTCTCTTCTTCACCCATCCTCCCCTTTTTCATCTTTTCTCCTGTCTATTTTAATCTCTTGTGGAGGAACTAAAGAGGCTTAGAGGGCCCCCACCACCACCCCGCCGCCATCCCGCCCCATCATCTATTCATCTAACTCAATTTTACAAAATGGAAGGAGGAGAGGAGATAGAGGCCGTTATCAGCATTACTTAACAACGCGCTGTCTCAAGGCGACTGATGGTCTCTCAACATGCATCGTTCAGTGCTCGGCACAGTAAACTGATTCTTGCTGGCTTTCACGCATCAGTCTGTTAGATTTATGAAAACACACACAACGGCGCAGTTATGAATATGTACCTGGAGCAGCGGCGTGTGCACGTGCGAAACGATATGAGGCAACCGTCTCCACTCCCGGATGGCGAGGCTGGACGCCATCTCCACCAGTCTCTCGATGAAGTTGAGCTGCTGCTCCTCTGGGTGGCAGATGGCCAGGTAACCACGGTGCATGTTCACCTTCCAGGCCATCTCCTTGGGGCAACTCAACTCCACCTAGAAATCAATCAGGAAAGGGTATTATAGTGCACGATGCAATTTAAGGCATTCCATTTGTCTTCACTTGACTTCGATTGATTGTGAAGACATTTTTGTGGCGAGTCATGCTTTTGTTGCCCACTTTTTTTTTTTTAAAGCGGGTGAATTCTTCGGGACTATTGGTAGGCAAAACTGCCATCTAAATTTAAAAGTAAAAATGGGAAAGGGGCAATTCGGTCACCATTTTGTACTAAACCATAACATGGCTCCCAATTCATATTGTACCATGATGGTGCCTCGGGACTTTTGTACTTTATAACTAATCAACCTGGGTTTGAAAGGGCCCTGCTATTGATGAAATTGCTGAGTTGATCGGTACAAAACAAAAAGCAACCCCGGGGAGCCTTCAAAGTCAAACCTGTGTTTCACATTTGGAAGAGAAAACAAATGAAGACTATGAGGACAACTGCGGTGGTTGAAAAGGGCAAGGGGGAGTGAGGAAGCACGAGTGTGTATTTGCATTAGCTCTTGAGAAAATTACTGTGATTGGTCAGAGCAGTTATCAGGGGTGACGCTTGATGAATGTCCCGGAGACAGGGACGGCCTTATCAAGAGCCGGCTTTAATTGAAAGCCGGGGCATTTGGATTCCGCTTCTGAGCTCGCGAGCAAAGCCTCGCTTCCTCTCCACCATCGTAAAACAAATCAGCCCGCAGCAGATGCCGGGGTAATTATTCACACACCGAGATGTCGTAAATATTAGAGGCTAACAGAGCGAGGAAGAGGTAGGCTAGGGAGGGACGCAGTGGGCGAAGAGTCGGTAAACAGATGAGCAAGTAACTAAGTCAAAGTTACAATCGGTAACGGAGCAAGGAAGGAATCGCGCAAGTAGAAGGTGATGGAGTGGAATTGGTGTAGCCATCCAGACAATTTAATTAAGTGTCACCTTAGGACACGGCGGCTCAATGGATTGGTTCCAAGTCTCCTTGAAAGAGCAAAGTAGGATTATTTGTTATATGTCCGCTACGATCCCGCACGTTACCATCCGTCTATGCTTCCTCTTAGCAAACATGCGGCCAATAAATTAAGAAGCCGCAAAGCTGGACTTCCACAAGCTTTACGGCTGGCTCTCTTATACACCCTAGAGGTCGCGCAGCAACCTGACGGTCTAATATCAAGTTACTCCCTCACATCGACATAAGGTCTTGGCGGGATATCAAACATAGCACTCAATTCCGGGAATAAAATGAAGAAAAGTGGAATTGAGTCTCTGGGTTCACAGGGTTCAAAAGCTGAAGGTTCCGCACCACCTGTGATGTTCTTGGTGGGGATTTTTGATTAGGCTTCCCCATCTCTGCCATTTTCCGTCAGGCTTTTTAAGGTTAGTGCACAGTTTCAGAGTGAGCGCATGGGGTGTGTGCGTGTGCGGATGTGAAGGTGTGCAGACTCAAGTGAGCTAATTTGACATATCTGTGTACTCCTCACCTGCACCAGAGCCTCCTTCATGGCAGCCCAATTAGAAACCCTCCAAGCACATTCCAGCACTAAATAAGGGTTGGAATGGGCTTTAGATTGGCCGTATTCCGTCAAGGGCTCCCACTGGTTCAATTCCTTAGAACAGCTGGACACGTAGCAAAAAAAAAAAAAAGAAGTTGATTCCATACAGTTTGTGCCTCACAAAAAAAAAAAAAAGAAGTTGATTCCATACAGTTTGTGCCTCACAAAAAAAAAAAAAAGAAGTTGATTCCATACAGTTTGTGCCTCACAAAAAAAAAAAAAAGATGTTGATTCCAAACAGTTTGTGCCTCACAATACAAATAAAATGTTCAATACGAATAAAATCCGAAGTCGAGGAGAATCATTCGGTTCAACGTGGGGGGAACTAGACTGTCTCCAGCTATTTTCATGAAGCTGTTTCACTGAAACGGGTCATAAAATCGGACATTTCCCCACCGTCAGTCTACATGCCGCAACTCTGGAAATTCTACGAAAGTAAAAGTTTTTTCATGAGTGACTATCCTAAAAACAAGAATCGGACACGCTAATACTTAAATGGGACAGAGAATATATCAACGGACATCATCTCCTTCTGCACTATCTTGACTGCACTTTGGGGAAAGAACATCACATGATTTGAAATAAATGAGTTACCGTATCCAGTGGTCTTCCCAAAGCTGGTACTCCGGGAATATGGCCGGGGACACATTGCTCCTCTCGTGCTCTTTTCGAGCCTTCTCCATCGCTTTCTCGTAGCTTTCCTGGGCCTACAGACACACTGGTGTTTAATTGGCAAGAAGGGGGCCTTTCACATGATTTAATCAGGAAGTTGGACAAAAAAATCTCACCTGTTCAAAGAAGCCGTGCTGCTCGTAGGCGATTGCCGTGGCAGTTTCGGGGAACTTGCATCGCTTCTGCCACAAGCCCGCCCACATGTCCTCCTCTTGGAGCAGCGAGTACAGCTCTGCTAGGGAGTCCAAAATCTCCTTAAAAAAAATAATGCATATATTTCAGAAGACGCTCAAATACTACGCTGCGAAAGCGGATCAAAACACGTCACCTGTTGAGGTGGTGTGATACTCTCCTGCTCGTAGACCTCTGCACTTTGCTTGGGTTTCGAGTGGAGACTGAGGCCCTTTTCAAAGGCCTGCTGCTCCAGCATAAGAGTGGATCGTAGCCACAGATTGTGCGTCTTGCCCAAGTATTTGAGCACGCAGGGACGCATGGGGATGGGGGGCACACACTGAGACATGGCTTCGACGAAGCAGTTCAAGGCGCTGGGCTGACAATCTCTCTGGGCTTGGTGGCTGCCGCTGCACAGGAAAGGACTCATTTCTCCAGATAATGCCTGTGGAGGAAAGCGCGTTGACTTCAGGAGAGGTCTAAGACAGCATTCAGAAAAAGCATGACGGTGCACGTATAAAATGATTTGGTGGGTGCAAAATATGCAGGGGCGGGGGGATGGATTGTCGTGATTTTTTTTTCCTCGGTGCATTACAACGGGCATCAATTACACGCAGATTTTTGGCTATTTGTGGGTTGAGCCGGTCCTAATCTGCAAAGGGCAGAGGTCGACTGTACAGTTAATAAACAGGTTGCTTAAATAGGTTGGAAAGAGTTGTCGTTTTTTTTTAAATAGTTATTTTTTTTAACTCGCTGATCAGTGATGGGCTCCAAAATTATGGTCATGTCAAGCCTATTCAATGCATCTGCAATGAAACTTTAAACATGAAAAATATCGCAATGCACTGATGGGGTTTTTTTTCTCAGGCCGAGTAAAAATACGAACATTTGAGCACTCAATGATTCAGCGTACTGAAACTTGATGAGGCCATTACATCTTCGTGATGAAAATGTGTTTTAGTTTAATCAAATATTTTTCAAAACACACAAAACACTTATTGTTAATTATTTGACTGATTGATTATTCGATGTGTGCAAATGGGATTTCCAATTTTAAGCGAACAATCAAAACACCTTCAGCAAAGATGATGACTCACACATGCGCACACATCGCGCGCATGCTGGCACGCGCAAATAAATGATGCATCGCTGCCGAATATAATTTGCACCGCCTATTGATAGCATTGAATATTTAATGCCTTGACGGCCACATTAATTAAACTAGCAATCAGGAAGACCAATTGATCAGTAAATTCCTTCTTCAGAAAGTGCGGCTATATGCAAAGATCAAGAGCTCTCGCTTCCCCCCCGTGAGACGTTATGGTGTCACGTGCTAAGAAGTCACCGCGGCCATCGGAATAAACACGCGTCGCCCGCCTGCGCCTTGGAAGTCTGTCACGAAATGAAAATCATTACAATTCTAATGACCGCGTCTCTGAAACTGAAGAGCTCAATCACTTCAAATCAAGGCCTTTCAACCCCTCTCAAAATACTCCATATTCATTTGGTTATTAGTTCAGCTCATTTAAGCTTTCCTTCCTCAGCTGCTCATTTACATATTTCGCAGAAATGAATCCAACCTCATTAAGCACAATCATGTGTGTTGAGATGGCAAAGATGAAGGTCATATTTGCGTGACCATGTCAAGTGTTTTGCATGTGGCGTGAATGTCCTCTGCGGCTTTGGTCCTTCCAGACATTTTGCGTTTCATCAATATGCATGTCTTCCACGTCCCGCACATCCTGGTTCTGACCTCACGGGAATATACTCACATGCTGCTGCCTGTCAGAGAGAATCTTCCAAAGACGAGGAAAGAGCTGCACCCAGGATCTCTCCGCCAGAGGGGTGGCGATGTGACACAGCTGGACAAGAGCATTCAGCAGCGCTCCGGTCTAGCAAAGGCCAGGGTTCAAATGGCAGGATATAAAAAATTTTTTAGATCAAAAGCGTAATTGCTTCCCAATTCTACCAGTTGGTTGCATTTCAATTGCTCGGTGCTGCGATTCCGGGAGGTCGTTACCTTGACCTCTCGCAGAGAGTCGAGGAACTTGTCGTGGCGATTCGTAAGCATGTGCAGTTGGTTGCCCGCATCTCTCTCAGCCTGGTCCTTCGTCTTCGGAAGAGCGGTTTGGTCACCTGGGGCTAATTCTATGTCGATCTCGACATCCTACCGGAGAGGAAAAGGAAATGCCATTCACTTCACACTAAAGTATGAGAGAGAAGGTGTGAAGGACAACGATGAGAGTATGTTGCACACGGCTAATGGGATAATGTGCTAATTGGTGTGAGATCCTTTCATAACGTAGTTGTGTGCGTGTGTGCGTGTGTGCGCGCACCCTACCTCCTCCTTGGTCTCACTCGTTTCCCTCTCGCGCGGTTCCTGCTTGACATGCGTCGCCATGGCGAACGCGGCACGATCGTGGCTGTCAGCCAGGTTGATGACGTTTGTGATAGACGGTAGCATCGATCCCTGGCAGCTGGTGCCGATGATGGTGTTGCGTTCACACACCGCCAGCAGCAGCTAATAAGCAAATACAAAGTCGTAGGCGTTAAGATCGGTGAGAGGATTTGGCAGAAATCTTGCAAGCTGACACACAGGAAAAAACAAGTCAAAAATATGTTGCGATGTGAGTCCATCACACTTTGTAATTGTTGGCTCAGCATACTACCAGAAATAGAGCGTACCTCGATACACTGCTTGATCCAGAAATGGTTCCCCATGGCCTCCCAGTTCTGAGAACAACAGATGTAGAGGAGCCTCTCATAGACTCGCCGTTTCATGGAGGCGTCAAAAACCTCAAAGAACTTTGCTCGGATCAGCGGCTGAGTGCAGCGAAGTCCGGAGAGAAAAGCTGGTTCCAACTTTGACGTGATGTCACTTCCTGACAGAGTTTCGTCCCTGGATGAGAGAAACCAAATGTTTACTGAAGAGCTTGTGAGTTGGCAAAACATCCATCCATTTTTTTGTGACTGGCTCCAATGCAATTTGGGAGCTTTTGAATAAACTGAACAAATGCTTCGGGTCATTCACAACCTCCAAAATTGATTTTTTTTCTAAAAGATGATATGTGCAATAATATTTCTTTCATTTCAACAATGTTTACAAGAGTGGAAAAATTCTGCACTCTCTGTCATCTTTCATTTTGCCTGTGCCTCCTCCTCATTGTGCCATTTGCACCTGACCTCCTGATGCTGCATTGAAAGAGTGCATCAGGTTGAAAATCTCACCGCATTTTGCCCTATTCTATTCCGTGAAAGTTAAAAATGAAGCGAATAGGGAAGACATCTAAACGGCCTCATAATAAATACATCCGTACATGACCTGTAGCGTCTGGTTGGTCAATAATGGGTTGAGACTAAGACTAACTTTAAAAAAAATAAAAATAAAAAAGAAATAAATCAAAGTTCAGACATAATTTTGCTGCACTGACAGGCTCTCTTAGGTATGATTCACAATACAGTGAAAGAGAGAGAGAGAGAGAGAGAGAGAGAGGAGAGAGAGAAAAAAATGTGAAATTAAAAGGAAAAAAAAAAAAAAAAAAGACAAGGCTACAACAGCTGGACAACGCCGCTATTGGCACCACTCACTTGATCATACATTGTTCTGGGACGGCTGCTTCATTATTCCAATATCATTACTCGCTGTCAATCAGGGATTTACTACTCATTTTAAATCTCCCGACACGAAGAGCAGATGGCACGGAGGGATACGGGATGCATTTGCCTGATTAAAAGCGCTAACGCGCGGAAGTCACGGCCAAAAGGGAATCAGGGTTTGATGAATTGCCGTCGACAGGATAGTCTCTACCTCCGAACCTCCCAACTGCTTGCTGGCTTGCCGTAAGACGGCGGGGCTGTGACAGTGACACTGTGTCAAAGACACTGGGAAATATCTTTTTCATAACTTGCCGGTTGCATCATCTCCTAGATGCACTTCCACAGACATCTGCCTCAATGATTCGTACTTTAATTAGTTCATCCAACGGTATGGTTACTCGTGCGTTTATTTTAAGTCCCATCCCGCCTTCTCTGAACAATCTCTTGTCAAATCCGGGGTCATTTTCGTCTTGCCTGACCATCATCCCTGATGTTGAGACGGACGCAAGGGCAGATGAGCGGCCGCGGCGCGGCCACTTGGCTGTACGATGAATAGCGGCAATTACCTGTAGACGTAATTAACGAGGTCCAGGAACTGGGCGTTTAACTCCAGTTCATCGGGGAAACGCTTCTCGATGTAGGTCATCATCTTTACCAACAGGATGGACTTCTCACGAATATTGGGCATCTAGGAGGAGGACGAAGAGTGTGGCTTCGTCTCCATGCTTTTTGGCTCTGTTATTTGTCCATACGGACGGAATTGCCTCATCTTAACTCACCTGATTGGCGGCCATGGGAGAATTATTTTTCACCCACTCTTCCACAATCTTTACGACAGCGCGGAGGATTTTGGGGTCGGGCGACTTCTCGATCAGTGAGGTCAGAATAACCTGAATGAAGTTCTTCCTCATCTCCATGCTCATGACGGAGAGTCGCGTCTTCACCAGGTCGAGGCTCAGCATGACCAGCTCGCTCGTCACTGTGAGAACACGAGCGTTAGTGTTCCCCGAGACAAGTCTTTCGAGGATATTGTCACATCGATGAAGCTTGTTGAGGGCAGCGAGGCTTCTCCCAAGATGTTCAAATTAAAGCATTCTTTCATTCGCTTCATATTGCATCGCCGATTCCTGCGCAATTGCTTACCGGTGCTGGTCTCCGTGACTGTTGGGTTGGCCTGCTGGGGGCTCAGGTGTTCGCGCACCATCTTCTGCAGCGAGCGCATAAACACCGAGATGAGGCGATCGATGTAACTCGCGTTGTAACTGCAGGCTGATTTGAGAATCATCAGTGTGCCTGCAAGACAAGCGACGTGCCGAGCAGGGTGAATTACAATACACACAAAAGACACACTCCTACAATGAGCACATGTTCATTTTTGGTCTTGGCTTGATTTTTTTTTTTTTTTATGGCAACAAAATGGCTCCATAGTGTCACAGAGGAAGGGACATGAAGAGACCAAAGCCTTTTTATTGACCACAACCGCCTGTTTGGAGAAACGTGACACATAGCTCATAGCTTTTTACCCTTTGCATTCAGAAAGCTAGCAGAAATAAAATGAGAATGTACAATGCTATTGATTCAATATGCTGGGATTTTCACTTCTGGGTGGTGAAAAACAATGTTCACGCAGGGAGTGATGATAGTGCAGTTATATTTCAAGGAACAACCTTTCCCAAATGGGTGGGGGGGGGGAATCTGTGTGTATATATCCACAATAAATGTCAGGGAGAGTCTGTCTTACCGAAGAGCTGTGTAGGGTTCGTGTTACTCGTGGCTTTTTCATAGTTGGTAAGTCCCTCGTAGATGACCTTGCCTACGGCTGCATACAAACACTCCAGCTCCTCATACTTGGATGCCACGTTGGATGTGCCTGGAATGGGATGAGGCGCAACGTTTCACTCTTGATGTTCAAGCTGAAGCCGCATTTGCTCAGGGAGAATTTAGAACTGCGTGTGTTGGTGGGCTCACTGGGTTCGGTGGGAAAGATGCTCATAAGGCGCGAGAGGAGAGAGTGAACAGCACGCAGCACTTTGGTGTTGCCGCATGTCATACAGGCGGCAATGCCTCTCTGGAGGGGCTTGAAGTGGGCCAGGATAGCGGGTGATTGCAGCACACTCAGCAAGAAACAGAGAATCTCCAATCCGGTGCAGATGTTGGAGAAGTTCGCCTGAGCTGGCTGCTCCTGAAAGAACGGAGTGAATGTTCAGAAGTCCAACATCTGGACTAAAATAATGACACAGCACTTTTTTTATTTTTTTAAAGTTTGGTGTGGAGGACATTCACTTTTATGACTACTATTCACACTCGGAGGGCAGGTGTCCCAGTACTTTTGTCCATCAGTATCGCTAATTATCCCCTTAAATACAAACTCGAGACAACTCCAAAATCAATGCCGTGCGCACAGAGGTATCAACTCAGGGAAAAGAAACAAGCCACTGTGATTTGCAGTAAACCAAAGATCAATGGCACATATACGGGCCTAATTTGGTCTAAATTGTAATCAAGATGTACAAAGATGACAAGGCCAAGAGGATAATCTGAGACAGATCCATGGCACTAATCTTGACTAATGAACAAGGTGACCCCCAGTGATAAGGCTTCGGGTAGATATCAGGAGCGGTATTGATTTTTTGCACCGTATGACTACAAACAAGTGTATCTTTCGACATGCGCGCAGGGAATATGCACGCTCGGAATTGTGTACGTGGCTCTTCTCAGCGCTCTCTCACATTACCTTCTTCCCAGTCCACCATCACTGACATGACAATACAATGAGATAATAAAAGCTAATCTGATGGAGGGGCATTGCTCATTAACCTGATGGACATGTCGAGCACACGCCCCCAAGAGACGAAAACCTGTGTATTGTCTGAATAAGACCTACATAGACCTTTATTTTTCACACCATCCGCATGGAATCTGGACCGGGTGCTAGGCAGGTATGGAACATGCACAGGCGGAGAGAGAGAGAGCGGCACAACTGATGCGATGATCCCCGCAGGAGCACAAAGAAAATATCGGATAATGCTGCGGTACGGTGATAACCTTGTCTTGTCTGCCGCTGCGAATCAGACCAGCGAGATGAGCACAGACAGAGGCGAGCGACAGAGGCGAGCGACAGATAAGGGAGACAAAGTGAAAACAGAGGCTGAGGTGATGACGGGAGAAGCTCGTGACGAGAGACCCGAGAAGAAAAAGGGTGAGGGAAGATGCAGGGGTGGCACAGGCCAGCGATATAGCCGGCAAGCACGGAGAGTTGAAGATGAAGAGAGCGGGGAGTTGAAAAACAAGTCACAGGCCAACCCGGATTGACTTGCGTTATCTCACCGCTGGTATTATTTTGTCATTATGGCAGTAGGCGCCTCACTTCATGTAAAACTGATAACGAAGCACTCGGGCATTTGCGTAAGCACCAAGACAGTTGTGACGAGGAAAACTCTTGCAGTCCTTCGGGAAGAAGCAACCTGTTACAGCGGGGAAGACTATCACTTGAGCGCAATGTTTTTAATCAGATACTCACACTAATATGGGGTTTCAACTTTTTCCGCTCAAGTCGTATTTGGAATTGGGCTCTTAATAAAATCTGAATATAATTAGGAATATAATTTACGATAGTTAAGATAATGCTAAAAGACACAAAGGTCATTCGTTTTTTCTACAACAATGACAATTGTGAGTCTAAACGATTTCACTCTTGACAACTGGCAACCGAATTTAAATTAAAATTTGTTGAGACCCATTTTTGGGCCTTGACCCCAAGACTCCAACCGGTGCCCGTGTTGCAAATCTTTTTGCAAGGAGTTAATCTCTCCATAACCCAAAAATAGTGCGGTCTAAAGCCATGTTTCCACCAAGCAACACTTCGCAGTATGGGACAGTCGAAGTCATGGAAGCTAACAGTCGCGCTCGAAACGGTTCCTAACTGGCTGACAATCCAATCCAGTAATTGGCAAGATACAGCAGATGCCTTCTCACCACAGTCATGAGCAGCCTGTCAAACCACTGGAGCTTGAGCTCGGCGCGAGGCCACATGTCAGGTCTCAGGGCTGTCTTCATCAGACTAACGCAGCGGCGAGAGAGCAGCTCCCCGGGGGAGCCGGCCACGTTCGTGCTGTCATTTACCTACGCGGGAGGAGAAGAGGGTGTAAGAAGAGTTGGGACACTTTATCATCATCATTGACAAAGAGTCGCCATCTTCCGACATCGCCGCGGCGACCCGGGGAGGAGAGAAATCACATAGGTCAAGGAGAGACTCGAGAAGGAAGAACGCCGCTATTAGGCAGCATTTCATTCATGTGACAAGGAGTATGACAGGGGGATCGTCGCGACCCGGCAATGGAAAGCGATCATTCAAGCGTGCCGGTTCAAGGCCGACTGTTGACAATGAAACCCCACCAGCTCTCGAGTCTCGTGTACTCCTGCTTGATCGTTATCCCTGACATTTTTTTTCCCCCTGATGGGTTTGATTTAGGTTCACCATGCTGTGATTAAACAAAGGGGAAAAAAAGAATTTAGTAGAGTGCGTTGGTTAGAAACCGGGAGAGAAAATACAAGACAATTTAAACTCAATAACAAGCATCTCTATTATCACTCTATGTGTTGGAGGTGTTACCTGGCATGCAATCCGGATGAGGAAATTGACGACAGTATCTGTATGTTGTTTGTCAACAGGTTTGGCGAGCATCGTTTCGGTGCCGGGCATGGACTGACTGCGACCAAACACCTAAAAACAAACAACAATCATAACAGTTGTGTTTTCACACAGGATGACTGAGCAGGGAGAGAAATAAGAGACGTTGAAAATGATGTTGTTTACGTGAAAGAAATTGCCCTCGGTGCATCTCACGACAGTTTTGACAATTTAGAATGATAACAATAGCTGCGATTGAGACTGCAAAAATCAAAAGGAGAGAAAACAAACGCTGTCACCTCCTGGCAAGTTTTGTCTTGTCGAGATGCCGTTTGATCAAACTGTTCCGCAATCATTTTTCTAAACAATACAGCTCAAGGGCAAGCCGTTGCACAGTTTGAAGTGATTGCTAATTTTGGAAGTGGCAACAACAAGTAATAGAATGTAAATTAGCTCACAGTAGAGGCCGTTCCTGATGCTATACGGAATCTTTTCGCATCCTGTCCGGGAGTGCCGCCATCTGCAGAGAGTCCTCCTTTCACGGCACCGCTCGTCCCTTCACCACTGGACCCACCTTCTGCGTCGGAATCGGGCTGGCAGGACCCAAACAAGAGGGATAGATATGTAGTTCTGGGACTCACGCTGTACACGTTTATCTAGCTGTGCATGCACACACCAATTGGTCTTTGATCCTTTGCAGCTCCCACTTGATGACCACCTCAGCCAGGTCAACAGCCAGTTTCCGATGCTCGATGGTCACGGTGGGGGTGAAGCCCAGACGCTGCATTGCGCTGATCATGTGCTGCACCAGGTGGTGGCGCACAGGGTAGTACACCTGTGCAGGCAAAAAGGATGGAAAAATTCGGTCGCAAAACATGGAAACTTATTGTAATAAATGTGAATTAAGAAAGAATACACAAAAGTTGTTAGTTTCAGAATGTTCCTCCATGTATATATCTGTTTGTCAAAAGTCTGAGGAAACAAAAATATTTACTGGTATATGCTGGAGGGGAAAACTAGAAGCATAACCCACACCGAGCTAAACGGGTTGCACAATCATTGCGCCAACGCGTCAGAAGTCGCATCCACTTAGTTTCAAGGATGTGACACCGAACACTAAAGCATCGCGCTGGAGGTTCACTTCGCTTCCTCAGAAGGCAAACTGGGGACTCTCAAGCATGCAGACAAAAGAGCGAGAGATGAGATGTCTATCAGGGTGCTGCTGCTCGCGACAAAGAATATTCAAGCTTCTCACTTTGAGGGTAATTATAGTCGATGGAGCAGGACTTCAACGCCTCTTAATGACAGAGAGGCTAAGCCCTGTCCATCACATGTGCACATACTCAAAAGTCTCTCATCTGCCTGTCATTATCCCCCCCCTCCCGTCCGCCCCTCAGTGCAATTATGCTGATGTGATTACATTAGATTAGTCATCTGGCCCAATGAGAGCAACCTGTCAGGAAGATAGAGAAAATCGGGGAAAAATGTCGATTCTGTGCAGAGAGACACTCAGTCCCCATGAAGTGGCGAAGCAAGGAACATCAAATGAGGAGGCATCAAGTGTCGATCAAGTTTTAAGAGCGGCGCTAACGCACGGGTCAATGATCCTTTGGCTGGTGTTATTTCACGGGTCATGCTTCTGAATGTATCTGCTTTAAGGCGATTACAGACAGAAGACAGTTGCCGCCAGGGAGCAGAGTCCCATTCGCGTGGCCACTGTCAATAACTTCCATCAATGGGGTGCGAGTTTCGAGTGGGGTTTTCAAAGTGTGATAATGATGTGATTTATATGCTGACAAACAACCGCCAAATCTCACTTCATCAAGTGCTCGCATTAGAAATCGTGCATGGAACCGGTGAATGTAACGCCGGTGGCGAGATGACAGCTGCAAGTGCATGTGCGACCCCTACTCGTTATTAGAGCCGTCGTGTTCCTTTCGCATCTACTCACCCGGAAGTGCTGCACGATCAGGTGCAGTATGTGGACCAGCTGCGGTACGGTGTGGCCTTCCTCCACGATGATTTTGCGCGTCCAGTGGGTGAGCATTTGGTGGCCGTCCTCCATGCGGGCTGGCACAGCTGGGGTGAGGATGGCCATCGCCTGGCGGACAATGGCACGGGCTTCCATGGTGTGGGCCTTCAAAAGGCTGTGGAAGACCTAAAGAAGCAAGACATTTTCATTCCGCAAACGTACGCTCAGCCTTCGTCTCTCTCACAAGTTCACGCTGCGTTGCAGTAATGCTGGGCTTCATTTCGCCTCCTCCTTACCTGGAGAACAATCTTCTTGTGGATGGCAAACTTTGCAATGATGTGGGCCAAAAGCAGGTGCCCGCTGTATTTACAGGCAGGGTCGACGCAGGCTTTCGGCAACAGGCATGGCCAGGCGAAGGTCATCAGGCGCCGCAGCTTGCTGTTGCGGGATTTGTTGTTGTCGTGAATGTGGTGGGGCGCATGCTCCACCAACAGGGTGGAGAACTGCAGCAAGCATATTCGCAGAGAGTCCAGCAGATCAGCCTGCTTCTCTGGATCTAGAACCTGAGAGACACGTGGAATTCTTTAGTACACCACACTGACATTCAAACCCATATGAAATCTTCCATCCTTAATAAAACACCGGTTGCCTCTCTTCATCAGAATAAACGGAAATCAACCTTTTATCCAAATATTAATTTACTGTGATTGCATTTCGGCTCCAACACTCAGGGGAAATTACTTTTAAAACTCCAAAGAAAAACCATGAGCAGGACAAAATAAGGCATTTGTTAGTCAGCAATGGAATGTACCACTGCACAAAAAAAAAAATAAATAAATAAATAAAATACTCTGACCTTTAACATGGCCACATTGTGACATTTACACCAAGAATTAGAGTTTGGGTATGATAAATGAAAGAAAACCCGTGGGATCACTGGAGGAAGCGAAGACAATCAAAGACAGGTGGAAAAGGCTGAAAAAGGGGAGGCACATGAAATGCGGCGGAGACGCTCAAGGAAAAAGCAGAGTGACAGGAATATATGGAATGGGTGGTGGATGCTGAGGCAGTATGGATGTGTGAAGAGACAGGTAGTGGGGGTGTGGGGGGGGGGTATCCAGTAATGAAATCAGAGATACAAAGCTGTTAAATAATGAGCAAGTGGGAGAGCAAGTGTGCTGAGTACGGGAGTTTGGGCGGGGTGGTAGAAAAACTGTGGATGTGAAGAAAATCAATGCATGGGAGCATCTGTGTGCACATGTACCTTGGTGATGAAGACGCTGGTAATGCTTTCCGGATTGTCCCCTTCGGGATTGGGCGGGCCGAGGAGCTGCTCTCCTTCGCCCTTTTCAAAGCTGTATAGGAAGGCTGGATTGAGGATGTGCTGCAGAACCTTTCAGTGAAGAAAATAAAAACAAAACAAAAAACACGGAAAAATAAATTAGCCGCAGGACCCAAAATCGAGTTTTCACAAATCACCGAGAAGGGAGGCAGAGCTAAATCACTGAGAAGGAATTGGAGAAGAAAATGTGCACAATTTGAGCTCTCTAAGGCACTAATCTACTTTAAGTGTCTGAGATGAAGGAATGTGACAGATTACGATCATTAATTAGCTGGGCAAATTAGGCATATGGACAGATGTGTGAGGTGAGGCAATTGTGACCAGTAAAAGTAATAAAAGACACGACTTTAACGAATCTGGCGGCCAAGCCCTCCTTTTCCTCTCGATGTTCCCTTGATTAAATACAGCAACAGCAATTACTACTCCACAAAACTCGTGGTAAAAAGAAGGAACGTGTTAGACCTCCAATTTAATCTTGCCAGACCTCTTGAAAATATCACTCTCTGGCTGCGAGGCATGAAAAACATCAAACTTGCCAAACAACAAAATTGTGGAGAAACGTTGAAATCTGCAGGGATGGTTGCCAGAATAAGCCAACTGAGGCGCGGGCTTGATTAGCCTGTGAAATGCAGAAGATCGCGCCCACAATAAAGCTAACGACTGCCTTTATTTAAAGAAGCTGCTATCTGCTAATGAGCCCTCCTGTTCAATCCATCATCGGGGAGGACGGGGGCGACGCTCGGTGAAGAACGATCGCGGCAGCATATGCTCCCCCCTCCTCCGTTCGGTCATTACTCGCACGCGTTCGGCACGGCGTAAAAGCCAAAGCGTGACGGGTACAAATGCAGACGCACCACACGCGGCCCGGAACAAAGACCCCGAGAAAATGCGCCGCATACCGGTCGGATCTGCAGCCTCATCTGTCCGCATCGTTTCTTTTTTCTTTTTTTGTGACATAATTTGATAAAGTGATACTTCAGGTGACTCCATGCATATAAACACACATATTTGGCGCAATCAGTCCAGTTACACTTTTACAAATGCCATCTGAAAATATTTTACAGTGAACCCCGTTTTATAGCGACCGGTGGCACCTTCCAGACTCACCTCCAATAACTGAAAACACCAGGCAGGGCTCCAAACGACGCTAACTTTTTTTTACTCGGCGCACATCCAAGAATGAAAAACAAAATTCACAGTAAAGAGGAAGTGCAGCGAAGCAAGAGTAATTACAGCACAAAATGGCGAGACGCGGTGATTATAAGACAGCGGCTGAATTGTAGTGAAACAACGCGTGCGCTGGATGTTCAGGAACAAAACCGCACCGCAGCGTACTGTTGAAACAATATGCTTCATCAAGCTCATGCTCGCTTTTGTTTGCATGTCTGCGTGAATTATAACCCCCCGAATTTGGGAGTTTAAAAACATGTTTGTATGGTCTGCGCGGCAAAAAACAAATTAACCGTAAGTGGAGTAGCAAGAGCTCAGTCTGTGCATCGCACATGATTCATTGTCATCATTTTTTTTTCCTTCTGCACGATTCCGTTTCTAGTCAAATATTCATGATGCAGCGCTAAAAACAACACACACACTCCGTTATGGCAATCATGAAAACGTCAGATGATGTCAGAACTGCTCTCGTTCTTTTGATCATTGACGAAAACCTGTGCAAAGTATTCAAAGTGGCGGGAGCCTTCTTCAGCCCTCAAACCCGATGACCAAGAGGATACTGAGGAGAACGACAGCGGATCTCCACTGGGAGGACCATTTACGAATTGCTAGCGTTGCAAAGTCAGTGACAAAACTCACATCAGATAAACAATTTGAAATGAGCAGCGGCATGATCACCGGAAAGGGAGTCCGGGTGTAATTACCCATCTGTGGTATATGTACAGATCTATGTTTGCCAAACAGTCATTTGGCTTTAGCGTGCCATGTTAAACCTTCCCGACTGACCTGTTTTGACTTCAGAGCAAAGCAGTAGCTACTTTCTGCCAGAACCGGTGCCTGTTACGGCTGCTCACACTGTGTGTGCCCGATTAAAAAGCAGCCAGGATGATTCTAATGCTTGCAGCGGCCTAACAGGTAAAGAGTACACAGGCATTCATCTCTGGTGCCGCTCTGTGTCTGAAAGCAGAATTAAAAATACATGACCTTCGTGACTGCGTCAGAACACTTTTCGTGCGAAAAAAAAAAAAGACAAACTAAGTCCCCGACGCTCACGCCATGTGCGTGGCTGGAACAAAGTGAGCTGAGGTGACAAACTCGCTGATAATTTATGAAGCATTATTCACATGGTTCAAGCCAAAACCCAACCAAATTATTTGTCAATTCTTTTTTTTTTCCTCGGACAAAAGGCGCATTGTCCGCCTGTGTTTCCAATCCATTATTAATGATGTTGAGAAAGAACGAAGCTAAAGCAAGTACAGAACTAAGCCTGACTAAAGTCAGGCATTTCAATCACTATGGGTCATATTTTTATCGGAAATTTTGTGAGGAAAAGCAGTACGGAAAAATGGACGGACGGCTGATGAAAAACACCAAATGGGTCAATTTTTGCTGTTTAAGTGGTGTGCTGCTGCGTTAACGTTAAATATGGCAGAGTGGAGTTGACAGCAACCATTTGCGTGTCAATTCTGATGGCCGGTTGACGGAAATGTCAGAAGCGCAGGGAAACTTTCAGCTCGCTGCGTGATGACATTCATCAATGACTTTTCTGCTCCGGCTGCAAAATCAGCATACCTTTGCTTTGAGCTCGTCGTTGAAGTGCGGGTCATTGAATTCGACAAAGCGGAAAAACAGGGCGCGCTTCTGGACGATGGAGTAGTTCCTGGGAATTTCCTCCTCCATGTACTCCTTCAGGAAGGTCATGTTGCACAAGAAGCGACCCGTGAAGGCCCGCAGCAACTGGAACAGCAACTCTATCTCGGAGTAGTTGCGCCTTTTGGATGGGAGACAAGGTCATGAAGTTCAGCGCACCGGTGTAGTTAAGTCCGCTTTGGCTAACAATGTGACTTGGGCACGACACGCTAACAATAGGGGGGGGTGGGGAGCAAAGTATGGACCACACACAGCCTGTTCTTTTCTTGAATTCAGCGCACCGAGCATTTACATTACCCATAGTCCTGTATTTGTGGCATTCATTTCTCCTAAAACTGTTCAATTAAACATCCTGAATCTACTTTTTTTTTTTAATTTCTTTATCTCATGATAGAACTTGTTCTTTTATTGTAAATCATACATTTAAAACACAAACATTTCGTCGCTGTCAGGCAGAAAATCAAAGCTAGCACCTCAAGCACTACGTTTGCCCACCTCTGTCGTAACCGGGCAGTTCAATGAAAAGTCAAAATACATACTTGCAGTAGCTCAGAAGGCAGTAAGCCAGCAGCTTCGGCTCCTTCCAGTTGGTGGCAGCCATGTTGTCTTTACGATGTCTCTCTTGAAAAGCCTCGCTGACCCACACCCGCCTCAACTGATTCACCAGCGAGTGCTGCCCTGCGAGCCAGCCTTCATCGTTCTTCACAATGATACTGATGATCTATGTAGACGCGGTGACGGAAAAAGGTGAAGCGTTCATTTTGTTACTCTCGAGGCGGTCATAAAATCACGTATACCTTAATAGCTTGAAACTGGAGGTCCAATCTGGCTGTGGTCGTGGAGGGAGATCCAGGGCGGACAGTGGCAGCCGTGCCAGCGGGAACCAGCAAGGTGACAAAGCGGTTGGGATTGGAGGCCAGGACGTCTCTTAGTGGCTTGGCATCTTTGTGTTTCAAAAAACTCTGCAGACGAACACAGACACATTGTCCAACTAAAACTAAGGTACTTTTGGAGCCAAACATTGAAAGACTTGGAAAGAAAAGAAAAAAAATACGCATCGGTCGGTTTGCCGCTAAATGCAAGACTACGAATCAGGAAGCTCAATGCCTTCTTTCATTATGACCCCTTAGTGGGGAAGCTAAAAAGCCAAATGTGCCCGAAAGCGCACCAAAGGGGCAAACGCTTAACGCGCCCAATGTCTGACCATGAACATGCGGCTCCACTGAGGGTCATTAAGAGTAGCCTCCATCATGAACAGCTCCACTGTCTGAGAAGGGTGGCGAGTCAGGAACTTGATCAAAGGCTCCCTGAATGGACTGCCGGCCTGCATGGTAGAAAGAAAATAGATGGAAGAAAAATAAATAATAAAAAAAAAGCAACTGTTTAAAGTATTAGAATATATATTGAGTGAACATGAGAATGAATTAATATAGTAAAATAACTATTTTACATACAGATCATCTTTTTTATCTGCATCATCACTGACAAACGATTTGGCCCATCTGTAAACATCGGTTGGACTCGTGGGATCAAAAGTTAGCTCAACCATGAACTAGATGGCTGAAAGTTTCCCTGACTGAGTAATTATTGGATTAAGACTTAAAAACTTCAAACTTCTGCCCGAATAAGAGTCTTGCGTCTTACTTCAATGAGCATGGCCCTCTCAGTCTTCATGACCACCTCCAGCAGAGGTTTGACGAGAGTCTGAGGTGCGGCGGGGATCAGGTGGAAAAGGTTGATGATGGCAGAACAGATCTTCATCTCCTACAAAAAAAGAGGCAGAGAGAGAGAGACAAAAGAAGACAAAGGGGTGTAAATCAAAGTCCCGGGAAAATGCCGGCGCGGGATGGAATTTGTGAAAAACGAGAATTTTAGTCAAATGAAAAATGCATTCTGTGTCAATTAGTAAAATAACCAACAGGGAAAGACACTCCACGGGTTACTGATTTACAAAGCCAAAGCAGACACACATTTTCAAGACATGACGTGTATTTATTCTTTAAAACCACTATTTGGGATGAAATTAAACTGCAGTCGGCATCTGTGGGGAAGTGCAGTTGTCAGTCGGGAATTCGAGGCTTCCAAAAAGATCAAAATGTGAGAAGGGCTGACATGACAGTGTCTGCAGACAATCACAAACACATGGACACAAAACCAAAGGGCAATTTCACCAGCACCACTATCACAACATTGGCTGAAGTAAGCGTCAAAACGTCACCAACAGAGGGCGCAATACCAGGGTCACATCTCACCTCAAAGCCCTCCAATGCCGGCTGTATACCAGAATGGGAGACAGTGATCAGAGTCAGCAGAGTAGCGTGTGTGCGCATTTAAGTGTGGCTGACATGTCGTCTGCCATGGAAGGTGAGCAGATGAGACAAGATGATAGTGAAATGAATGGCTAGGCAGCGACGACCTCTATGTGCGACCTTGAGAACAACTTTTCGTCAGGGGAGCACGCAAACTACACCAATCGCATTTGGAGATACACGATCACAAATGAAGATACCACCCCTGCAAGACAAAAAGTCAATCGGACAGACTCTTTCCGTATGGCTTTTTTTTTTCCCCTCAGTTTGGCGCCACCCTTCATCATCCTGTTGTTGTCGTTATCAGACTTGGCTAATTGGACCACATGACCCCTGGCTTGACTGCGTCTTCACCTCAGGGTCAACTGGCATATGACAAGGAGTGAGGTTGAGAATAAGAAAAAAGGGGCTACTTTGCATGCCATTATGCAAAGCATTTCGAGATGGGGGAAGTCGCAACTCTCATGAAATGAAAGGTTGAAATGGTTTTACTTCCCCGAGAGAGGCGACTGTTTTTTTTCTCTCCACGTTAGACTCTCACCTTTTCTTTGCCTTTGCAAGGTTATCTGTCAGGAAGATAATGAGGAGACGCAGCGCTGTGCCGACCACCGCCAGCCTAGCACCTAATTAATCATTGATTGTAATATGGTCACTCACAACCCATCTGGGAAGAGGCCACGCACAGGATGTGTTGACTCTATGCGACTTAGGCTTTGTGCCATTTCCTGTTAGCTTTACACGGATCATGTGACGGCTGTATTGACTTGCCGCTTCCGTGCTGGATTCAAACTAAATCTCAGCTGAGGTACGTCAACATGTGAGCGGTATATCGAAGCCTCGCGTCTGCAGAATTTTTGCAGCGCTTGTAACGTGTGCGCACGGGGATTCATCTCGAGCATGTATACTCACACTGCCGTCGCTGCGCTGGCCTCCCTTGTGTGTTATTACCACCACCTCCATCCACTTCCGCAGGTGTTGCTGATGAGACAAGGAAAAAAAAAATTGGAACTGAGGCGAAGTAGGCGAGCACAAAGACACGCATGCATGGATGGATGCACACCATTTTGCTCAATAAATAGAAACGAAACATCAATCCATACTTTCGCGGCACAATAAGATGATAAGTTAATCCTTTAAGGATACCCAGATGGGAAATTCAGATGTGACAGCAACACACAGGATGCAGAAGTGTTTCAGAGATAAGAATAACAAGAAATGAAGAGAATAAAAATAAACCGTAAGAAACAGATGCACAATATATATATTTTTTTGAAGGATAGAAGTAGGAAAATGTGTTTTGGAGCCGCAGATTAAAAACAGCCATCGAGTCTACACAGGTCTATAAATGTTGATTTAAAAAGGGAAGAAACATGTCTTACCATCATTTGATCACAAAACTTGTCATTGAAAGAGTTAGGGAAGAGACGCGTGACAGAGGTCAGACGGTTGACCACATTCAGCGTAAGGCTGCGGTAGTCACCCAGCATCATAAGCAGGGGCCGCATGTGAGTGTGGATCTGGTCCACCTCAATGGTAGCGCCCTCCAGGAACTGGAAAAGAAAACAGAGGGCGGAATAGCTCATGTCAACATGTTTCAGGATTATATATAATGTGTGCATTGTATGGCTCTGTGGGCAAAACTAGCAATCATATTATGTGACCTCCCTTATACAAATCCTTTCTCCTTAACATTGGATCTCCTCGCCTTGCCAGGTTCTCTAACATGGCCAATTTCTAAATGCACACTGTAAACCGCAAACTGTTGGGAGACGAAAGGTCACTCAGATGTGGGCGGGACCCGGATTGTAAACAAGCACACACACATGAGAGAAAGATGCATGGAAGAAGCCACATTCATTTTCCTCTCGGTGGAGAGAACAAACATCCATCCTGTATTGATCGGGCCACAGCAATGCTCATTAGTGCTATCAGGGCAGAGATGAAAGTGTCCGTGTGAGGGGGGGGGACGGCAGAGACATACGATAAAGAGTGATGGCGGTCGAGACAGAAAATGAAGGGCACGGAAATTGAAGGAGAAAGGGGACAAAGAGCATCCAGGGTGAATGGATTTGGGTCTTCATGGTATGGATTCATTTGATAAATAGGGGCCTTGGCTGGTTCGCTCAGTCTGATAATGCATGGAAAGTTCAGATGGATTAATGAATGATCTCTGCAATTGAAAATGACAAGAAATGTGGGGGAAGCCAAAAAGAACCACTGAGATGAAGGCAAACATACTTAAAAAAAAAAAAAGAGGAAAAGAAAAAACATATGCTGCATTAAAAAAACATGAGTGCGCCTCACAGCTTGAGGGTAATGTTGAATTTCACTTTGGAGCAATATTGTCCGTGAGGTTTTTACTGAAAAGGAGATTTATATTCAGTAGATTTATATTCAGCAAGTTTGAGACACTAAAATAACTAAAGCATACGATCGTGACAAATGAGGCTGAGGAAAAAAAAAGTCCATACATATTTTTTTTTTGTGTACTGACCTTCCTCATGCATGCCTCTCCTGCTTCCTGAAGCTCACTGTTGGTTGAGTTGAGTGCCTTGAAGAGGGCGGCGATGATCTTCTCCCTGGATTGCGGTAAGTAGTTGCAGGCAGCCAATGCATCTAAGAAGGCAGCAAATAAATGTAGATATTCATACAATTATGATTAAAGTTTATTTATTTTTTTTTAAAAATGGCAAGCGAGCAATGCTAACCACTATTCTCATTCACCAACATCTGATTGCCTTGGCAAGATATTTAACTGCTCCACAAAGCTCTATCATCCAGCCATGGCAGCTGATAGGCCAGTCAATTGTAAATTGGCCAGTTGGCAGACGATGTGCCAAAAATGCGTGTAACGATTCGTTGACTTGAAACGTAGACGCGGAGCCAAGTTGACTCGACGACTTACTGCTTCGACGCCTACAAGGACACCCCTTCAATATGATGTGACTCACTGAGAGCGGCGATGCGCAGGGGCACCAGAGAAGGGAGGCTCTTGTAACACGGCAGCTTCATCAGCGCAGCATCATCCGCCTCGCACAAGTTCAGCAGCTGTTAGACAGAACGGCAAAAAGGTCAGAGTTCCTTTGGTTGCGAAGCACGCAAATGTGGGGCAAAAGTAGGGCGAGGGAAAGTAGGGCTGGCCTTTAAATAAAAACGCACACACAAACTTATATATTGTATGACCTGTAAAAATGTGTCTTTTTTCCAGGATTGTGATTTCATACAAGGTGACAAATAAAAATAAGAAATGTATAGTGCCGTATCTTGCAAAATGCTTACCTCTGTATAAAAGACCTTGTGCTCCATGACATTGAGGTCCATCGTGAAGAGGCGGGGCTGCAGGGTGGTGCAGAAGGTGTTGCCTTCCATCAGGCCAATTTGGGCATTTGCGGGTTGGTGGCGCAGAAGATGTTTCTTGGGGGGAACCATATCTTGCAAAACCTGATCAATCGATTCAAATCAAAAACATGTCGAAGTTTAGTCGGGATTTCGTTCTCGAGCTGATAAACAACATGTCGATCCCAAACGTTTGACCTCTTTGTGTGGCTCCATGATGACAGTGACACTCTTGCCGGTGACCTGGGCCAGCACTTGAAGGGAATGCATGGCCTGCTTTCTGACAGTGGAGTTGGGGGAGGTGACCTCTCGAACGAGGTCATGTGTTACCATGTGGAAAGATTTGTCTTGGGCGGTTAGGAGGTCTTCTGTTTTTTCTTCATCCTTCAGTGGAGTGGCGCAGCGTACCAGCAACTGCTCCAGGGTTGTCTTTGCCATGGCGACGGCTCCATTTGACACCTGGGTAAAGGCCAATTCAGAAAGTTGAAGCAATTCAGAAGCCACCACTACTACTTGCTCGACATATGTACTAAACCGGGGGGGCACACTGGGAAATCAACACATTCGTTTATCCCCTCTGAGCAAAATATTTAATCTCACCTCTCCTGTGAGGTCCATCATAACAAATAGCAGGGCCTTGAGAAAAGTGAGCTGGTTTTGGAGAACCCAGATGAGAGGCAACCTTTCCATCAGGAACTTGATGGACACCACCCCACCGAGCTTGGCATACCATGCCTGCTCATAGCAGCAGGCACACAGACGCTCCACAATGTAAGAGAACAAGGGAAGCTGACACGCCTGCAAATGAAAACAGAAGTCAAGCATGAACAAATCATCTATCTCAAGAAATGTAATTATGGCTGAACGATTCATTTGTCGTAACGATTTCTTTTTAATTGATTTTTTTGGGGGGGGGGGGCTTCTACAGATCAAAGCACTTCGTCGTGAACCCTTAAAAAACTATGGCTGGCAGCAGAGGAGGAACTAGTCCTCAAGGCAGTCAGTGTTGCCAAAGTAGCGATTTAGTCACTATATTTTCTGACTTTTTCTTACCCTCTATCAAGGTATTTTTTTATGACGTTTTATTATAAAGGCAATATTGTAAAGGAAAACATATTTTGTAAAGCACAAAATATTTTCTACAAAGTTTTGCCGAACACAAGCAACAACAAATTAAGCCCCTCGGTGACTCACTCTCTCCTTGGAGCCCAGGATGATGCTGGCCACATCAAAAATGACGGCGAGGGCCACCTCGCCGATCTTACACAGTTCCTTCTCTTCGTAGGCCATGCAGATGGCTATGGCATCGATCAGGACAAGTGGATCCATGCCCTTTGACCCGTTCTCTTCACTGTGGAACATGGCTGTGCTTGGCTGACTGCCAAGCTGGTAGCACGGCAGCAAGAATGGACCTGCGGGAACGCAAATCCGCGAATGCATTTTAAATCATGACACTTAATGGCTAGGTAGACATCGTAATAGCTTTATTGTGCAACTGGCGAAAAAGCTAATCTTCAAACGTGGGTCTGTCTCACCACACTGCTGAGCCACGGCAACCATGGTGTAGTGGCGAATCAAGCTGGCTACGAAAGGTAGCGCACTGGGCCGCAGGTCCTTTATCACGGCAGACATGAATGCTCCAGTCAAGGCCTGCTCAAAAGTCCGGCGGGCAGGCGTGTCCTGCGCCTTGTAGCGATGAGAGATAATAACATTGGGGATCCACTTCTCCGTAAAACTGGAGGGAATAAAAAAACAGAACAAATCAGCATCGAGCGCGTGTTCTTGGCACTGTTGAGAAATAATGAAGTACAAATACTTTTGTTACTGTACTGTACTTGTAGCCCCACTGAGCTTATCACTGTGATAAACCGTTCACAAATGCATTAATACTATCACAATTATTATCATTTTTCAGCTTAATTTTTTTTTTTGAACAAAACTTTACATACACCATAATAACCACAACCTATGCAGCAAGTAAAGGTTTTGATTTGCGCGTTGTCCTTTAGTTTGTCGCACCTCCGCAGCTCTGCTGGTGTCTGTTGGTATTTATTAACAATAGCTTGAGGCAACTGGGCCGCCCGTGTTATTGAGCAGCTGTTTTCTCCATGGTTGAGCTTGTGCTTTATAATGCCACACGCCGGGGGTGGACCGGATGCATCGCTTCATCTAATTATTGCTCTTTAAAAGGCTGCTATTGGGAGCATGGCGGTGGGTAGAGGGGTGGAGCAGGTGAGGAAGACAAGTAACGTGGAGGCCAGGGTGGAGACTGTCGGAATGTCTGATCAATTGGCCATTTGTCATTCACGGGGCTATCACATCAATGTAATTGTGTCCTCACGACGGCCATATTTAAACTCATCTAATCACGGAGGGAAAGGGCGAGAAAATGAAGTGAGAAGAAAAAAAAAAGAGAATATTTCATGAGGGAGAACGAATCAAGATGTCTGACAGTGGAGGCAGCAGTCGCAAGCCTCCTCCCCCCTTGATCATAAGTGACACACTTCATTACCCCGGCAGAACTGTGCACACAGACACACTTGTCTTACTGCATGAGCATAAGTGTGCGTGTAATGAAAGGAGAGTGAAAGGGCCAGGATGTAGCATAAACAGACAGAAGAAAGTCAATTAGCCCCTGCCCGGGATCAATGATGGTAATGTGACTAACCCATCCCACAAGCACATCTCTTCTCCCTTGCTGTCCTGTGGGCTCACGGTATAGTTTTCTGTCTCCAAGTGAAGCCTGCCATCGAGCTGGGGTCTACTTGAACATAATTAGCAACACCAGCCCTTCACAACGTAATTAGCAACACCAGCCCTTCACACGGAATTGTGTGTTGTTGGGGACCTGTGCAATTTAGAAATGGGCGTTTGCTTACTTGGGATGAGAAAGAAGCTGGTACAGAGCGTGTTTGTTATCATCCAAACTGGTCATGGCCACCAGGAAACACTTAATGACCTCCCACGCCTGTCGTCTGTAGTACGGCTCTGTGTTGGCACTCTTCAGACAGTCGAGGGCTGTCTCGATCGCCTAGAATGGGTACAGCACACAGATCTTGAGAAATAAAAGGTTTAAAAAAAAAAAAAAAAAGAATTGGATTGCAACTTCACACAGATAATTGTGATTAATTGGCACAAAAAAAGCACAGCCTAATCTGGCTTTGCAAAGGCAATTGTGATCTCTTCAATACAGCTTGGCTTACTTCAAAAGGGAGTGAATTTAATGCCACTCTGAACAAAGAGGAGCAGATCACAGAAACCAGACTAGCACATGCAAATTAGAACACTGCATAATTGAATAGACGTCCGTTTATTCGAATATTTTCTCGAGAGTGAAACACTTGACTGGCTCTCTGGTCAAAATTCCACAAACGCGACAGTCATCAGTGGCAATTAGTCAAGAGAGTCTATAAGATTATTATTTTTTTGGATACATGTTAATTTACCTTGAAGCCATTTAATCTCATCAATGTCATTTGATTGCTTTGTTTAATCTAATTGCAAAATGAAACTCTCCGACGTCTACTCACACTTGTATTTTATATTCAAATTCTGCAAGTAGAATTTGGAGTGTGTGAGGGACGGTGCGTGGCCTGAATCTATGAAGACTGCCAGAGAGAGAAGCGGCCATTACCAAGAGTAAATAGTCCCATCATAGTGGACCACACTAGATTGATGATTACGGACTCCGTCTGAAGTTTCCCGGGAGACGAATTAAATTACCAGGAGCGCGCACAAAACTGCACACGCATATCTGAATAAAAATACTGCTCCCTGCAGTAGTGGCGATGGGGCCTTACCTTCTCCATCGGGAGCTGTATCGAGGCTTTGCAGTCAGTGAACTCAGCCTTGATGCTGGGCCCTTGAACCTCAGTCACCACATAGTGCAGCCTCTGAGACTCCTTCAGCATCTTTCTATTGCTGCCGCCAAACTTTCCCAACACCCGGTAGGCTACGTGGGAGATGGTCTCAGCCGGGTTGCGAAGGGTCCGCCATAAAGCCTTGGAGCACAAACGGAGAAAATAACAACTATGTGAAAACATCTGCCAAAGCGAACATCAAATTGTAAATTGAGATCATAATTCTGTTTGTCGTCGTCTTGGGACTTGAACCGGAACCTGACCAAGCAGCTTGATAAGAATTGCACCTGTCTGTCAAACTTCATACCTGCATGAGCTCAGCCCTGACAGGTTGGATGTGATCATAGAGGAAGTCCGGCTGCAGGTTGTCCACACAGAGCTCTAAGGTGCGAAGGCCTTGGCTCACGAGTGTCTGAGAGCCGTTGAGGGCTGACACCAGTGGATCCATGAGCATGGGCAAGTACGGCAGCAAAGAGCTGAGACGCACCGGCACTGTCAGGCACAACTCCACAAAGAGGTCCTTCATGTGCTGCTTGTGAAGGCCACTTTGCAGCATATTCAGACCTAACGGCATGAAAAGTAGACACAGGTGAGAAGGGAAATGTAGCGTACGGGATTTAAAGTCAAAGACCAGATTTTCACGACCATATGGCGCACTGTACTAAAAGGCGTAGTGTCCGTTCGGTTCCCTCGCGTCATTGTCAGTCAGTTGCCATGCAAAATCTAAGACTTTTAAGTGCGTCTTTTCGTCGTGAGAATACGGCAGATAAAGACACGTCAACACATCTGGAAACTGCGATGAAGACTTGTACCTTGTAGCAGATTGGGTAGGAGAGGCAGGAACTCTTGGTAGAGAAGGTCGTGACTTCCTCCACCAATAGAGCGGAAGAGTGCCCGTAGGAACAGGAAGTAATTGTAAGGCTCCTTGGCTGATTGGGCCAGTTCCATTGAGCTGTTTACTATCTTGTGGAGGTGTGGCTAAGGGAAAATGAATTATTTTAATACCCATGTGGAACAAAATAAAACATAATAACTCGGGTGTGGTCACTGACTTTAAGCATCTGTTCATTCTCAGCTGCAAAAAGCGACACTGATCCAAACACCAGTTTAAAGAGCTTGAGGTAGAGATTGGAGAGCTCCACATTTGAGCCCATCTCTGGGAGTCTTTCCAGAAGGTATTCCACTAAGATGGTGGCAAAAAGAGCCGACGTTGACAAGTTGGCCAGGAATGAGTTTGCCACGATCTGAGGAAGAGCAAGAGAAATTAAACAAATAAAAGCTTGAATACAATTAGTCTTTTTCTACACTTGATGCGTGTACCTGGAGCGCATAGTTCTTGGAAATCCGCTCCACCATGTACGGAACAGTAGTTTGAAAAATCTCCTTGAAAGTAAGGGGGTTCATCATGGTGAAGACCCCAGCAAAGTGCTCCAGAACTTCCTTCTCCTCCTTCATTCGTACCGCTTGGCAGTTGGCCACTCGAATGTATGCTTGCTGGTTATTGGCAACCTGGACCTGGACAAATGAAAAACAAGGCAGCTTTCAGAGCTGTACACTGATTGCATTGATTTTAAGATCCATTTTCATTTATTGCCCAACTCTCTCCTCTGACTTTGAATGCGCGGATTTATGCCAAATTCAACAGCTCTCTTGCGTTACCTGATAGATGTCCAAAGCCTGCATGGCATACTTGACCAACTTAATGTAGATCTGTGTTTCCTTCGGCTGCAGCTGCTTGTTTGGTATGAACTGAGCCTCTGTTTGAAGAAAAAAAAAAAAAAACAATACTGTAGATTCCCTTGCATTGAAGCATTTATCGTGGTTGTCCAAGAGTGATTTTGGTCAGCCTTACCTCCAGGGGCCTTGCAGGAAGTGATGCCCCACGTGATGGTTTTCACGCCACAAACCAGAGTTTTCACTAAACTACGGCAATCCGACACTTGAAACGTCTGCTTGTCCTCCTTCTCGCCCTGTCGGTCGAAGGCGGCCGCGGGAGGCTGAGGCGCACTACTGACGGGTGTGGGAGGAGCCGGAGGCGGGATGGCAGGCGTAATAGAAGGCGTGGGTGTGGCGGGAACACCCGGTAGGACCCCTGGCTCCACCACGCCCATTTCCGACTGAGGTTTGCACTTCTTGAAGATGGAGACAAGCTGGTAGCGTGCTATGGTGTGAAATTTCAGCACAAACACCTGAGCGAGACAGACAGATAGACATGGCATTCAACATTTCGATACGCAAAAAGTGACTGATGTGCCTCGCTTTTTTGTGCTGGCTACCTCCAGCATCCTCATGAGGATGTCCCGGCCATTGCCATTCTCCTGCTCTGACTTAGAGCGAATGCAGTCCACCAGGTTGAGCAATAGCTTGCAAGACATGGTCTGAATATTGCTCGGAAGTGATTCGTCGTCGATGTTCTTGGCAAACAGTTGTACAGCTAGTGATAAATCGGTCAGGGGCAGGTTCTGGCGAACGTGGTGAACGAGGTCTGCGAGTGTGCTGTAGGCCAGAGGTCTGAAAACAGAGATGGTGAAAAGAGAATGACTATTGGATTTTAGGAGACGTGGCGAAAACTGAAGGCGGGAAGAGACAAAGTAACAACATGAGCTGTTCTGAAAGGTGAAGACGGTTAAGGGAAGCAACTCTGAAAACGGCCTCTGTCAAGGAAACTAGCAAGAAGGTGAGCTAATAAGTGACAACGATATTGCCGCCAGCTCTCAACAGCTCCTCCGCACTACTAATTTGAAATGACAGTTATATCACTGAAGTGGCAAGGGTTGCGTGGCAGGTCAAAGACATTTGCGGATTCAACCTACGGGAAAAACTGCCCCCCAGGAGCTGTGGGCGTACATGACAATTTGACAGACGGACCTCAGATGTGGTCAGCCTCCGAGACGTGTGCCTCATTAACATGCAAAGGACTTGGAAGCTGTCAGAGCAATCTTCCACTAAACAAGGAGATGATTGTGATAGATGCACACGCGGGCGACTTACCGAAGCGTCTCCCGGGCAGTGTATCCAGAGCCAATGAGGATAGATTCATCAAAAAGTTTATCCATGCAGGGTATAAACTCTGCAAAATAAAACGATCACATTGGCCTTTCTTTCCCGTACAAGAATATGGATAAATGCAAGTGCAAATTTGGTGTGATTTTTCACATCTTAGAAGAACATACGGTTGCGTAGCTCGGTGGTGAGAATGTGTTTGGCGGCGATGAGCAGCTCCTTGCGGAGGTGAGCCGTCTCCGAGGGGCAGTTGGTGAGCAGCTGGAGCATGCCCTTCACCATCTGCTGGGAATACTTTCCGACCAGCTCCTGAGATTGTGGACACACACGCACAGTATGAACCAGTCGAGCTTTCCAAGTGCAAATAACAGCCTGAACCGTTCATGCGGTTTACGCCGGCGGATATCCATGAATGCCTTTTTGTTTTGCTTCAAGAAAATTTTGTTTGCGTTCATGGAGGACTCGGCATGGTAGAAAGTATTGCAAAACGCATCAAACGAGTATACCTGGTAGATTCGAATGATGTAGGCCAGGAATGAGAGTGTCTTAATCTGCGCGGCAATGAAGTCTGCATACAGCTCCTTGTTATAAAGCTTGTGCTGCCTGCAAAGATGACAAACCAAAAAAAAAAAATAAAAATGCACACAAGTAATTGAGTCCCCTGCATGCTGCAGTAGGTGACAATTAATGGCGGGTAAAACGAGGATCTACATATGGGATTCAATTCTACATGCATCGCTTCTTCATTTGTGCGGCAGCTGTTACCGTGGCTCCCAAAGAAACTTTCTCCATACCTGCCGTAGATTCCTGAGGTTTGTTTTGCTTTAATTAACTCTGCTCCATTTCCTTCCGATTCCACAAGTCTAATGCAACCATCTTCTTACGCTCAAATTTCACCTCCCGCTAAGCCAATTTCTACTATTTTAACTTTCCTAAATGGAATGGAGCCAGCTTTAGTAACGCCATCAAAAAAACTGCTGCCAGGAAGGAGCGATGAAGAGAGGGGGGGTAAGAGGTAGGGGGGTACCATTCTATTAAAAGTGGGCCCAATCTCATTCAGAAGGCCATAAAATGAAAATTAATTTAGTTAGTGGGGGTTGCAATTCCTGTTTGGGCAAATGGATGTTACCTGGCTTGTGGAGACACCTGCAGCATGATGGTGCTCATGATGAGGGGCACAAACTCTGACACCACATTGTGAATATTCAGCTTGTAGAGCTGTGAGGAATAGGCAGGAGGTGGGGGCAAAAAATAGACTTCATTGTGATACAGCCATATAATTACAGATGAGGTGATTTTTATTCTCGGATTAATGAGCATTTGGAGAGGAAATGAATCCAGTGTTTTCAATCCAGTCACACCTCTTCCGACTCCAAAATTTTCCAAAAAACACAAATGAGTCAGTCAAGTTTACAGCTTCAATATCCTTAATAAACGGCACAAAACAATTTCATTGTGTGGTTTTGTTGCGGCGGCACAGTGGTCGGCTGGTTAGCATGTTCTCCCTGTGCCTGCGTAGGTTTTCCGCGGGTACTCCGGTTTCCTCCCACATTCCAAAAACTTGGCACAGCAGGTTAATGGAACACTCGAAATTGTCCCTAGGTGTGATTGTAAGCTCGAATTGTTGTTCGTCTATGTGTGTCCTGCGATTGGCTGGCAACCAGTTCAGGGTGTACCCCGCCGGCTGCCCGAAGACAGCTGGGATAGGCTCCAGCATGCCCGCGACCCTCGTGCGGATCAGCGGTTTAGAAAATGGATGGATGGATGGTTTTGTTGCCCCGCTTTTTCATTTCACTCACCTGATACATCAGCACCACGATGAGTGGCAGCTCTGCAAGCACTTTGAGCGACAAAGACCCCCGTGGGATGATGGTGTGCTAGAGACAGAGCATTAAAGATTACAATACATACCAGATGACACGTTCGCATGACTTGCTCACTCTTACACTTTTAAACCCAAGGAGCCAATTACAACAAAACGCCTCAAAGTCAACAAAATCTATTCCTTTAGGATTAATTACAGTTTGTACAAATGTCACTTTAGTCCACGCGAAAAAGCCACTTTCAAGTTCAAGTCAACTTTATTGTCAAATGTGCTCTATGTGCAACATACAGCACAGATGAAATTTCTTTCCTCTCAACCACAGTGCAAACACAGGAGAGAGAGAGAGAGAGAGAGAGAGAGAGAGAGAGAGAGAGAGAGAGAGAGAGGAGCCGCTGCGGGTGCCCACGCCGCCATCAACAGAACAGTTAACATAAATGACAAAATAATACAACACAACACATAGGACACAGACAGTCGTGCAATCTTAACCACGTTTTCTGCATACACTTTGTAGTTTGAAGCAGTTATAGATGAAAGAGGTCTGAATGAATCAAAGTGTCCTTTTGACCAGTGGATCAAAGACGCCATGCTGAAAATGTCCACTGGTCTGCTACAAGCTTCAGTTTGAAAGCAAACAGAGGCTGTAGCGTCCATTGATGCTACGTTTCCCCTACGTTTAACGTCAAACATAAATAGTGTAAAATTAACACACACTGTGGCCTCATACTATCAGACTCAGTTTTTTCCCTCATTATTATGTCTCTTGAAGTGCAGAATTATGGCTCCTGTGGTGATACATAACACAGTCTCGCATTTTCAAACACAAAATAATGATTTCAGCACTGTTTTCCCATTGATTAACATTATCTAAATGACTGTAGCAATTAATTCTGCACTAGCTCAATTTAAAAAACCCCCATCTCTGATCTCTATCTCTAATCTAAATTTAATGTATTGTCTGGGACAATATTTGAATTTCAATGGGCTGCTATAATGTGGCATTCTGCCGCCATCTAGTGCTATGAAGTGGTAGTTGTAAAGTGCAGAAAGGAAAATGTCCAAGAATGAGCGTTGAGATTACCGTTCGTGTTTCACTGTCTTCTCTTTCGGGTGCAGTCTTCACCAACACGGAGGTGATCATCCCAACCATTTCTGGGGAGGGCACAGTGTTCTCAGCAATTACCTGAGGGTTCTCAAAGTATCGGGCCTAGTGGGCACACACACATACAAAAAAAAAAAAAAAAAAAATAGTGAAATAAAACATGGTTGTGCTCTGTTAAAAATCGGCGCAACAACACAAAGCAGGCAGTTACTTACAACGACTTTCGGAAGGTCTTTGTAAATCTGCTTCACAAAGTCTAGGAAGTGATGAATCTGAAAAGATGTAACAGCATGTAAATCAGCGGTTCAGGAAAATGTCTTGCAATTCAGTCGAGCTCCATTTTTTGGGGGGAAAACATAGTCATCACAGGTAAATGAATTTTGTCAACTGAAAAAATAAGATTATTGAATTGTGGCTGATGTACTTGCAATTTTTTCACCATACAAAGCAAAAAAATCATTTAAAAAAGCCGACTACCAAGTAATCTCTTCGGAAATACACGTCATCAGCTGAAATGAGCAATAAGCAATCGGGCCAAGCCACTCACCTCCTGTGAGATTGGAGGACGGAATTGTTTGTGCAGCTCAATTATAATGCGAAGGCATATCAGCACATTTTCCTCACTTTCAATCTGGAAGAGAAAATAGTCAAGAAAAACAGACACAAGACATTTTTGTTTTGTATTTAAGACACGTGACACCAGCATGTACATGAAATACATGAGTCAAGTTTCTTCAGGATTTCGAAAGGATCCTTACCTCCAAGAAGCGAAACATGACAGACAGGATGTTCTTGGTGTGCGTTCGAAGGTGTTCATTTGTGGGAATGCGGTGGATGATTTCGAGCACCAGCTTCCTTAATTGCTATGGCAACCCAACCCAATGTTATATTATAATAAAATTCCGAGTCTTATACAATTGGTGTACATGCAGTGTTCTGGGGAATGTCCATACCTGCGTTGGCTTTTCTTGTAGAAACTGCACCTCTCCATCCTGGAGAAAGGTGAGGAAGCGAGGGATGATGTGTTCCAAGAATGTGGAGTACTGAGGCGAGGATGTCACATTCTGAAATGGAAACAACAATGAGTGCGGTATTGGGTTAGCAACACCTTCAACCACTGCTGTTCTTGTCAATAAACTACAATAACAGTTTATGATTTTTTATTTATTTTTTGCACTGTCATACTCACCTCAAAATTCTCGCTGACCTCTTGCATCATCTTGAGCTTGGTCTCATCAGCTGGAAGATGAGGGACAATTAATCCAATTTGTTAAACAGAATTTAATGGTCATGGACTTCTCCAGAGGCTGACCAGGGGCTCTCAGATCTTATCAGTTTTACTTTCATCGCCAGTTTCATCAAAATGGTACACTCTCACTCACACACATTCACTCAAACACACTCACATACAGTACATGTACCTTTGACTGGACTAAAGCGTATTGCTCTCATCACATTGCCCATGCTAAAGATCCGTGCCGAATCGAACTAGGCTCGGCCCTGTTTAATAAAAAAACTGCTTAGATCAAAGAACGTACGTGTGTTTGCGTCGGTGAGCGCTACCACAAACTGCAGGTACTTTTTCATCAGCGTGGTCTGGTCCACCACGGTGGGACTAGGAGCTGGCCCAAAGGCCATTGTTGCAGCTGGAACAGACTGTGAGACACAAGTGGGGAAATGTGACAGACTATATGGTCTGCACTGATCTCAGCTTGTGCTCATGTTGTGTTGCACTACATAAAGAAAATGAGAAGAACAGTTAAAACTTGTTGACTGGAAGCAACGCAGATGCTGTATGATAATCATAGAACGAAGACACTGTTTGATAATCAAAGAACGTACATAACGGATAGCTAGATGAAAGCATTAGTTTCGATTTTTCTCCTCAACAGGCGCATTCTGATGACGTCACAAACACTTCGGCTATCTGCTAGGGCAATTCTTTCACATTCAAGTAGAATTCCCGACTTAATTAATTAATTCACCGACGTCAAACTTCGAACACGTTTGACAATTAGGCGTTCAAGCATTTTCTATTTTCAACAAAATCGATATTTACTGATTAACTTCAAAGGCGATTCGCCACAATCTCTCCTAAGTTAGCTTGTTAAAGAAAGAGACCATTGATGCTGTTGAAGTGTTTAACAGAAATTGATTTTTTTTACAACGGACAGATAGATCCCATGCACCCGAAGCCTAAATTCAAACTAGTTGCAAATAAATAATTTCTAATAAAATCATCAATAAGAGGAAAAACAAATGATCTTACCTTGCCCGACGTAAAAGAGCGAGTCGTAGAAAGCGCCGCGCTGCCGCTCTGAGCAGCATGGATGTCAAGGATATCCTTCCGCGCATCGCATACAGAATGCGTATGTTTGATTTATATTCGAGACAAATTTATAGTTCATTTGTGATTTTATTTATATATATATTCTATTAATGCACATGTCTTTCAAAACACGGTGATTGGTATTGTGGTAGACATGGTTTTCTAGTGCAAGTGGAAGGATATAGTCTTTACAAGGGGGGGTGGTGTATGACCATCATTTTCGATGGTCTTGTCAGGACTCTACGGTGGTTGCAAAGGGAACAAAGTCCTAAAAGCGACACACATGCTATTGCTTTTAATTGCTTGATAAGGTTGTATTTAAGAACTTTAAGTAAAAGTACAATACACTCAATATTTTACAGCACATTCTTCCATCATGTTATCTCTAAGAAACCTAACCCTGAAAAAAAATTATAGCAGTTTTGTTGGGCCCAGACGTGCAAGGTAAATGTCTCCGAGAGCTTATAAAAGCTCATCCACATGCATATTTGCCAATGTATTCATGTGAATCATTGTAATACGTTAGTTTCATTTTGTAAATTTGATGGGATTTTATCTCTACCACAAGATGGCAGCATAGTAATGGTCTCCAATGACTGACTCAAAGCGCTGCAACCTGTTGCTCTTGTTGTATTTGCTAAACATAATTCAACCTTACAAGGCACATATACATATATACACAAGTTAATTAGACACTCTGCCATCTAGTAGACGCGTATTTAAAAGTGTTGCCTATCACGACATGATACTGGCATAAATAGGTTGATTAATCTCCCTCATTTGTAATAATTCAACATTTTGGGGCCATTTTGGTGAAATGAATGATGATGCAAACATCTATAATTAGATAACAATATGTTATCTGTAATTTAATTTAATAGTTATGTTTAACTTCAATTTTCATTTTTGTTATTTACTTTTTCTTACACAGGAATTGCAAAGATGATCAAACCTGATTCGGACTAGTAGACACGGCTGAGGATTTGATACCTGGTTTCCAAAAGACATATTCCATTTCGGGCATCATGGTTCAGGGTTCGGCCTTTCTGTGAGGAGTTTGCATGTTTTGTTTTTGGCTTCTCTCAATCTCCAAATGTGAGTGTGAACGTTTGTTTGTCTATTTGTTTTGAGTTGTCTCTAGTTGGCTGGCGATCAATGCAATGCAACCCACCTCTCACCCGAAGTCAGCTAGGGCAGGCTTCATTTCCCAGCCACCCGCTGAATTGATTGATTTAGAATTCAGAGCAGCGTTGAATGATTCTTATCAACATCTCAGCAATCAGCGAATGAATAACTTCAGACTCACCAGTCTGGAGTAACCAGCAGAGAAACGAGCCGTTTCGTCATCAATTGCAAGTCATGTTGTTGTCTAATCACTTCATCTTTGACGTGATCCCCTATTAAAACCTGGGAACCAAATGTTCTTGTTTTTTTCTGGTGTTATTTCAAAGATTAATTCCTGAGTCTTCTCTTGGCCAGGCTAATGGGGAACACGATCTAATTGCCTTCGTAATAGCTGGGACAATAATGAAGTCTTGATTTATTATTATATCCAATGGCCTGTCTCCCCCTCCTTGCGTTGCTGGTGAGTTTTAATTAACAGTTGTCCTTGTCAGTTAACCCACTAGCAAGGGGGTTCAGAAGAGAATATTCCTTTCACCAATTATCACATATGTTGAAGATAAGTGTGACATGCCCCCCCCTCCTCCACACACACACACACACACACACACACACACACACACACACACACTCTCCCC